AAAGGCGTCGCCCCGCCCTGAGCCCCGCCCTGCGGCCCCGCCCCGCCCCGCCCGCCCGCAGCCGCCCAGGGGCAGCCCCGCAGCGCGGCGGCGGGGGGTCGCCGGGGGCCTCAGCCCGCGTTTTGTCTGGAAATCGTGTTTTTCCACTCGCTAACGTGACCGTTCTGCCACTCGCTCACGTACCGACCCGCCCGTCCCGAGGTGCAGAAGTTACCGGCGATGAAGCCAGTCCCACCGAGGCAGAGCCACCCCTGCGGTCACTTAGTATTTTTAATGTATCCTAGCTGCACATGGAAGCCCGGGGCATGGCGGCAGCTGAGAGGCTCCCTGAGCTTTGCGTTATCCCAGCATTTCCCCGGGGAAATAATCCGGAATACCCTACAGTGATGCGAGGTAGGATAAGGCCTAGTTGCAGAAGAGGGGCCACACACTTTACTTCCTTCGCATCAGGTAATTACCCCAGAAACTTTTGAGGATTTTGTTGTTCAATTCCATGCGTATCCGACTTGGACAGGAACCATGCTGGGCCCCGACAGGATGGCTGAGGAAGGATGGGCATGCGGGAGCAGCCTTGTTGCGGCGCCCGCGCTGCTCCTCTCCCATGGGATTTGGAAAGCCCATCCTCACTGTTTGCCTGCTCCATCTCCAACATGGGATGCAGCTGCATGCAACCCAATGCAGCTCCAGTGGGGGGACCTGGGACACGCAGGATGTGCTGTTACCTGAGCGGGTTAACCCCCCAAGCCCCTCAAGCCAGAGCCTGGGCAGTGGCCTCATGCAAGTCTCAGCCTCGAAGCTGAGACACCCATCATTTCATCCCGCTTTATCCTCAATCCTCCACAGCAAAGCCTGTGGAGGCATGTACAGAGCTGCATGGCACACGCCGGGGCTGGGACTGCCTGCAGCCACCAGCCCCATGGCAGCCCTCGGTGCCAGCCAGCAAAGTGACCAGCACTCCGACTGCAGGGCCCTCCCGCGGCATCCTTCCGCCCCCTTCCCGGGCGAAGGCAGGGGAAGCTTCCCCGGCGGTGACACGGCGGACACTCGGCTGCCGTCGGGAAGGCGCCGCGGGCTGGCGCGAAGGGCGCGCGGCCGTTAACGCCGC